AATGTGCATATTTCGCCTGTGTTTTTGGAAAAGGCGCTTTGTTTCTCTCCGCGCAGGAGTATAAATTGGTACCCGGTGGTTCACTAATGGGGAAGGAACAGGTGCAATATTTTATTTGTATTTACTTATCTATTTATAAGACAACATTCGTTGAGAGCTATGCTACACGATGTACCATGTCCATTATTCGAACACTGTATTTACTTTTCTTTGATTAAGTTTGCTGCGTAAACCATAAACACAATCAAAACAAATAGATAAATAATAATAATAATAGTACTCAAAATATATATGTATATATTTATGCTGATACCTCAGTAGAATTAGCATCTGTTTGGAGAATATCCATCAATATTTCAGCAGTAGAATCCAAAGCTTTCACAGAGATATCTTTTGCATTACTTATAATTTCTTCCAGTTTATTGCTAACTTCCTCAACATTTTCCATTGTAACATTCATCTAGGAAAAGAATAAACACACATTAAAAGATCACGCGGAATCGAAACGCAGAGTTATATATAATCAACAACTGGATTCAGTTATGATTATTATTACTATTGTTGTTCTGTTACTAAAGATATGATACATTCTATAATCACTGAATTGTTGTGATCTACAAAATTTGACCATCACCGAATTTAGACGTTCTAACAGTTGTTCAGTTGTAGCGTCAGGTCCACAGTCGTTTATTTCAGGATCTTCCCACACAGCTGCACTTTTGCCTTTACATGTTCGGGTAGCACGAGACATAAGATCTAATTGTACAAACATAGACGTTATTTATATAATTAGAGTGATATTTAACAGTACACTTTTAATATTGAAAAAGCCCAAATATGTTCATCTAACAGATTTACTGGTAAACATGTAATAAATATATCTAAATAAATTTGAACATTGATTAAATTTAGGTGGCTAAATGTCTTTGCCCACCTCTGTTAAAAATATAATGTATACATTTGATTTGGTAAAATGTATTCCACTACAGTTGATTGCCGTTTCTGGTCTTTATTTCTCTCACATTTTGGAAAAAGTATTAGTTGACTTGCAAGTATAGTGAAAGTATACTATTAGCGACCGTTATTACTATTTGCGTTTGCGTCAGAGGAAATTATCACAGGAGTGATGTTTTGCCCACGTCAAATAGGGCAAAACATTAGGGCCTACTCCTAAAATCCATTATTATTAGTAGTATATTTAATAAGACAGTTTACAAAAACACATATTTTTATATGCTTACAATTTGTTTTACTCTCACCACACAAGTCTTCGGAATCTACCGTCTCTCCAACTTTGGCATCAGGAAATGTGAGGTTGTCATAAACTTCTCTGTAACACATTTCTATTTTAAAATATAACATAACAGAATAGGTTGCGGGGGCCATTTGTTATGTCTTTAAGCAAAGAAATTATCTGTGTGTGTGCTTCTCTCCATTCAGAAGCACAAGATGTATATAATAGTTATTCATTTTTCATAAACAATAATGAAAATTTGTAAGTAATGTAAATGTACATGGAATCTGTGATAAGTTAGTATATTTATATTATTGTGTAATAAAATTAACTTTTATAATTGTGCGCTTTTGTCTATTTTTAGGCAAACTTATTAACTTTAGGTTATAAAGCCATTTTTAAAGCTAAATAATAAAGTTTATAATATTTGCAAAATAATCAATGTAACACTTGTGTAGCAAACATTATTTAAAACAGGTAAAACTGAATTATTTTGATCTATCTCATTGAACGCTTGTTTTCTTTATTAAGCACATTAGTGCATTTTTAATAATGAACACACATTTTAGTAAAAGAGCACAGACACTTCAGTATTCTCTGTGTCTTTAACGTTTGACCTGAACTTACAAATATTAGAGGACAGCTCTTTGAACTCTATCGATGATGGATTATTTAAATTTACCTCAAAAGTTCAGGTCAAAGTTAAAGAGAGGGAGAGGGAATAGTGCCTGAGTTAGAATTGAACAAGAAGTAAAATCAGGACAAAATCATTATCATAACAATTACACTCATTTATATGATGTCTCTCGTACAATAATAATACTAATTATAGACAATAAATGAAATTAATCAACACAATTAAAATACAATATATTCAAATTTAATTCAATTCATTTGATTACTATTCCAGTTTAAATATAAAAAATAAAAAACAAAATCAAAACAAATCGGGGGAAAGGAAAAAGGTACAGGCCCAAGAAAGAAAACTCCCATGGATGGGTCAGCCAAAAATCTAAACAACAAACTTGTTTTTAAAGGAAAAGGAAAACACTGCCATTATGACAATAATAGGTTAAGTGAAAACAAAAGATTCAAGAAAGATGACTACTCTGGTTCGTTTATGTCACAAGGATGAATAGAATTAGCTATGTTAAGACACCCACAATGAATCCTCTGACAAGAGGGAAAGTAGTCGTTCCCAGCAAACGTTTGGCTGTGATCAGATACGGAAAGATACTAATGTTCTCATCAGAGCAGTAGAAAGATGGGAACAAGACCGTAAAATTTATCGATGCTGAGGTTAAAATTGGGGGAGCAAAGGGCATGCGCTGGCTAAGCAGATAGTTAATAAGGTTCGACTTTTGTGAAATTTCTGAAATCAACTAAAAACATGTTGGATTCTTATAAAGTCATGATGACATCACATCATGACAATATATTGACATAAATTCTGTTTTTATTCAATGAAAATTTTTGATAGTTTGTAGTCTGGACAGAGCTCCGTACTAATGCTTATTTGCGAACTTACTATCTGCACAATCAGGGTCTGTCCAAACATTAACACATTCACAAACGTGTCCATTCACACCATCGGTACACGTCCCACCATTTAGACAAGGTTCGCTTAAGCACCCATTTAGGTCTGAAATAAAAATATTAGCACTATATTATTGATTAACCTAGACCATGCATAACCTTTAAAGGAATCAATATGTGGCCCAATTTTCAATGACTTCAATAACAGAACTGAACTTGAGATCAGCATAGTCTATGTCTGTCTTTTTCAAGCACAGTGTCCATACCAACAATCAGTGCACCGATTAAAATTTAATGCTTACATACTTACACAGTACAACATTTTTTTAAATTATATTTTTATTTACTATATTTTTTATTATTTTTTTATTCTTGTCTTTTATAAAGCTAAAGGTTAAAGGTTGTTTATTTATATTGCGCAAAATACGAGTCTCTATCTGCAGAACAAGTGAGCAGATGTAATTGGAAAAACAAACTGCAGTTTGGGTGGTGGATACTCCAGCATCGCTGAGCAGGGATCTATCAAAATGTACCCTGCCCAACAACAGTATTTAAAATTTTATATTTTACAAGAAACAAAAGTGATCAAAGTGATAAGAAAAACATGGGAGAACGTAACAAAATTAAGGAGGATCAAATATTAGAAAATTGTTTTTTTTGACTGATCTTACAAAATGTATAATGAAATAATAATAATGTAATTGTTTCTGAATTTTTTCCTTTTTATTAATCCAGTTGTCAATTCTTATAAGTAAATATGTCAAGTCCGTAAGTAAAAACAACATTTATTTATAAAAATTGACAACTGGATTAACAAAAAGGAAATAGTTTTAATATTGAATCCAGAATAAACTTATTTCCCCTGGAATGTAATTGTTGCTTTACTATAATAAAAATAATAATAAAAGTAGCAATATTAATGACAATAATAGGAATAACAATAAAAAAATTAATAATAATTAACAATAACAAGAGGCATAACAATTAAAAAAAAAACAATAAATGAAAAAACAAACAGTATCAATAAAAGAAAAAAAAAAGGCCTGAAAGGATTATAGTAGATTACCTATTGTGCAGAATGTGCCTGTCCATCCTGAGGGGCATGCGCAGCTGTAGCCGTTAATTCCATCAGTGCAAATTTAATAGAAAAGTCAGTCTCTAGGCACCATTCAAATATAATGGAGGGGTGTTATAGTTTATAGGAAAAAGGTAGTAGCCAATTTAACCAGGTAACACCCCTTGAATTTAATAGAAAGGTCAGTCTCTATGCACCAATCTAATATATTCAAGGGGTGTTCAAGTTAAAAGGAACAATGGTAATAGTTAGTATTATATCCAGGTAACTATTAATGCAAGATGGACTTTACTATTACAGTTTTCAAATGCTAAGGAAACACTACTTAAAATTATGCCTTGTACAGGTGTAAAATCATAAAAAACAGGTGAATTATTTAAATGATTATCATACTTGTTTCACAGAAGTTGCCACTCCATCCAGGCACGCACAGGCATATATACTGGTTGTTGCCATCCAGACAGGTTCCCCCATTCTGGCAAGGACTGCTGGCACATTCATTGATATCTGTAAAGAACAACTGTACTGTATTAATAATATGAATAATAAAGCATTAAATGGCTACGGGCACACATTTGTCAGGCGACAATGGTGAGGTCTAGAAGACTGTTGTATGTGGCCCAGTTATAGGGTTGGGTGACATTAGGGGTTTTCACAAGCTTACGAAAACGATAATGAATACATTACGTCATCAATTTCTTAGACAATCCTTTCCCTCCAGCAGCAAAGTAGGCTCATACGCAGCTTGTTTTCATTAAGAAAATGCAATCTATAGTAATAAACCCAACATTAATTTTTGAATATGTGATTTTTTTTTTAAAGTAATTGTACCAATGCGTAAGTGATAATAATTTAATTTCAAACCGTCTTATGGATGTGCAATACTGGTGAGCTTCAGGGTTGCGCATCTTGTTGCCTAATTTATCGTCTCTTGTATACAAATGATTTTACATGTACATATGAAGAATCTAATCTAGAAAACTGCCTTTCTATTAGGTATGCAGATGACTCTTGCATGCATGGAAGGTCTTGTGAAAGACAACAACATTCAAGAGTACAAATATAAGGGGAATCGTCTGTCCTATGGTGCCAATTCAATTATTTATAAAATAATAAGAATACAAAAGAGGTGATAACTGATTTTATGACAAATAAGATTGAGCGTGAACAAATAACAATATATAAAGAAGCCGTTAAAATTGTAGCCAAATAGTACTTGAGTGTAATGACTGATGACAAGTTAAATTGGAAGTAAAATACAAAATATATATGTTCAAGTGTAAACACAAAATGTCACTTTTTTATCAATCTATTAATATTATACAATTTGTCATTACCTTTTGCGAGATAGCCTGGTTCAATACATTAACATTTTTTTAAAAATATTAAAAACATCCAGCAATATAATTGGTGTTAATGTTAAACACTTGAAGAAATATGTAATAATATTATGGAAAGGATATTGTGGAAAAGGAAACTATAATAACGTTGGATAGACATCATACGCTATGAGCTGTGTTACATTTAGTAGGATGGAGAGAATTTTCTATCCCAGGATAAAAACAAAAAAATTGTTCCTCCCTTCTGCTTTGCGACAGTACAGCAGATGGACTTGGTAAACTGCACGTCCCATGAACAAAACAACGCTTTTAAAATTCGCTCTTCAATCAGTTGATTCTGTGTCAATTTTTACTATTATATTTTATACATTTTAGAACCCATTTCAAAATTTTAGCATTTTAACACTCATTTGTAGTCAGTTACTATGATTTCATTGCAAGGCAATTTTAAAAATTGTATATTTAATATGAGTTTGACAATAAAGAATATATATATTCTACGGTATTATATAGGACTGTCTCTGGCAAAATACTTTGTTTATCGCAATTTCCCAAAATGTTCGGGAATTAAAATTGTAAAAGTTTTCAAGTTTTTGAATTTTATAAAGGAAGGTATATTGAAGAAAATTTCTACAAAATATCAATCACTAAATCTAACTGAAAAGTATATTACAATTATTTTTAAAATACAAAATCTTAATAATAAACTACTTTGAATCTTTGGAAGCAGTTTTCCCAAAACCTACACGGCTGATATCCAATGAACTAAATATTCATAACTTTGCTAATACTCAACCAATTTCCATCAAATAAACACTGTTTTAAAGAAAAATGTATGTAGAATATAAAAATACCAAAAACTCAATTTTGAATTTTTCCTACAAACAGCTGATTTTGCCAGAGCAGATCACGTAATATAATTGGTTGGGACTTTTTTAAGAACATGGTTACAATTTCTATTGAATTCTAATGGGCAAATAGGCAGCTGCTATACTTTTAATCAGTATCTTTTTAAGGTTTGCGGACATAAAGTTAATGATTATTTTGTTACTGTTGAAATCTGGTACAAATATATGAAATTAATGGCAATTAAAGGGTGTCAGAGAAATAAAGAGTAAGGTACGAAGGCTGTCTTACTGATTTCACAGTGAGTTCCTTGGAATCCAGGTGGACAAGTACAGGTGTACATGTTAACACCATCGACACACAAACCACCATTCTGGCAAGGAGAACTACCACATTCATCAGTATCTGAAATCAAATAATCCTTTTTTTTTATTGATTAATAATCTATATACAGTTCAAGATAGTATAATACATACTCCAAGTATTGAAATGCACGCCATCGTGTTGGGATTCAATATTTCAACAATAATTATGGCATCATCAGGAATGACATTCTCTCTCTAATAAAAAAAATCCCTCCAATTAAAATCCACCTCCAATCAAAGACAACATTTATGTGTTCTCAAATCAACAAATGTCTATTTATATATCTTTATTATTCTATTTTGAGACCATGGCTGCTAAAGACCATGTAAACTCCAGTTCCCAAAGCGGTCTTTAATTGGAGAGAGAATTGCACTTAATGATAAATCTATATATTTAATGATAATCTATATATTAACACTTTTCACTGATTGACTGATAAATGCTCTGAGTACAGAACCATTTTTGGATCTTAAAGTGGTGTTTGGAGCACATTAGTACATTTTTGTAGTAATTGTTTTCAAAACTCGCTACCATTGTGGCATCAATATATGCGTTTCTGTTTTGGATGCATCATTGTATGCATATATTTTTAGGGCAACCTGCAAAACCTTCACGAGACAGGATACTTACTGGCAGCGCAGACAACACCCGTGTATCCGCTTACACAGGTACACCGGTAACCGTTCACCAGATCATCGCAGACACCACCATTCAGACAGGGTGAGCTAGCACACTCATCAATATCTTGAGGTAAATAAAAAGATTGCACGGTGGAAATAAATCTAATTCCATCAAATGTTCATTTTTCAGGAAATATTAAGGAAATTGGAAGGCGATCTATATACAGATATCTAAAATGGGTGATTCTATTATTATCTAGGGGTGTTTTACTTACGAAAACAAGGGCAATATTTGTATTACATCCAATTAGGAATTCAGAAAAAACACTCTCCTAAATTAATTCTTAATTCTCTTTAGAAATCTATATGTGCATTTCAATTTCCCATATGACAACATAGAGTCATGATAACATGATGTCATCATGCCATATTTGGGTATACTTACTTGTTTGACACAAGGTTCCGGTCCAACCAAGAATACACTGGCAAGTAAAGGTGTTGAGGCCATCTATACACACCCCATTCTTCTGACATGGATTTGGTGAACAGTTATTATCATCTGAATACGAAGCACAAAAATTATCCAATCATAAAAAAATAACATACTGAGAGCTGCTGTAAATATACATAATAGTTTGTTATACTTATTATACAAGTTTGTATAATAAGTTTGGTTGCCCTTCCAGAGATGAACTAGTATTCCTTAAATGTTACATTAGACCTGTGACTGATTATGTTGCCCGTTTCGCAGCAGGGCCTACTTGGACTCAGAAGGGAGCTTTCGATTGCACGACGACGGTAGGACGTAGAATGTAATGACGGCGCTGAAAGTCATCTGCGTATGCAAGAACGATAAGTTCTCCCCGTTGTGTGGATTCTATGATGCAATTTGACCAAATCTACGTATGCAGAGAACGTGGGATGCCCGGTAGGACAGCCATGCATGAGTGATTCCGTTTTAGCGTTGTGTCGTCAAACAAATCGAAAGCTTCCTCTTAACACTAATTGATCGCACACAAGAGCGTGTGTAGGAGGTGCATTCTCTTTAAATCATTGAATAATTTTTCGGAAGTTCTTTCCACACTTAGACTAGAGAGACAGTTGACTCAAAGAACGTATAATATATACTCCAAGTATTGAAATGCACGCCCTCGTGTTGGGAATCCCAACACGATGGTCTGTACATTTTTCTGAATTAGTATTTTAATATTTTTGTATGAATTCTGAATAAATATACCTGGATAAGTAATAATAATTTAATTATATGCTCAATGCAAAATGAATTGATGGAATGATCGATGATCAACTGACTGATTGATGAATGGAAAAATCTAAATTTTCATCATCCTGACCACCATCATCACTGTCGTCAGCATCGCTGTTCGTCGTCAGCATTGTCATAATTATAATCATCATTCCAATGCTCATTCTCCTACATCACCACTTCATCACCTATTCACTCAATTTGTTCAATTATCCGACATAATCATTAACTAGTTAGGACTAAAATTAAAAGTGGTACTGTATGTACGACCAGTCCACATGCTATGCTCACAAAAAATGATATAACTTAAATGGAAATATGAAAATTTGCACTATTAAACTCAGAAAATTAAATAATTTGAAAAACTGTTGATTGTTGGAATATAACAACTCACTCATGTCACAGACACTTCCTGAGAAACCTAGTAGACATGTACAGATATACCCATTAACAACATCGGTACAGGTGCCGCCATTCTGACACGGCAGAGATGCACACTCATCTATATCTGTAAAAGTCATTGTGTAAAAACAAGATTAACAATTTATTGATCTCCTTTGAGAAAATGCGCTGCATCCACAAAATGATGATACACAATGTAAATATGAAAGTGCACTATATTGAGTTATAATAAGAATGCTGGAGCGCACCTGCAATGTATTTGATGTTGGAAATACGCAGAACTGTGTGTGTGCACACATACAAGATGGCTGCTGTTGATTCAGCCAATCATAATATGCTAAGCATTGTTTCAATGTCGCCCTAAATGTACCATTACAGTTTTGAATACAGCGATGTTGAAGCTCGAGTGCTGTGGTGTACGGTACACAATTCTGATTTTCATTCCTAAGTACTTTATTTTTAAATTATATACCCCACTTGTCTCATTTTGACTATGACAGTTTAATGGTTAATGAAATAATAGTTAGTCAGAAGGCTTATTTATAGTTATAATATGTATACTAAGCCTGAAGGTGTTATTTTCCTATGGCGGCCATCTTGGATGGTACACAACTCTGCATTGCTTCATCGCCTAGTCAGCACTCTAGTTGTATAATAGCTCTATGGTAATAATCAAGTTGTCCAAAATTTATTCACGGGTCCCAAGTTGGAAGAAGAAGCCGCTTCCAGGAGATATGTTTAACACGTTGGCTGCAAGCGACAAGCTGATATCACCACAGGGTGATGATATTCGTCAAAATTGGGGCGACATTCTAGTTTTTATTACTTCTTTGTTATACATTGAAAAACCACAGACTTAACGGCTGGTAGTTCAGGGAAGATACACCTAGACGACTTACAGTAAACTTTAATTGAGACCCCTGTTTTGCTATGTTCTCAAATCTTACCGTATTATATTCTCACGTATAAGACAAGGCTTAAAATAGCAAATTACGATAGAAAAACAGGGGGTTGTCATATGCGCAACATACACATTTTTTTTTTCAAAATCATGTAACATGCATTTATACTTGTGCAATGAAGCTACTCCTGTTAGTAGAATGAATGTAATTTTAAATAAGTGGAAAGAAGATTTCGATGAACATTTAAAAGCCCATAAAATAGAAATATTTGGAATATTAGCCTTAAGTTCTTTGTGACATACCATCTTGATTTTACTGTATGATTGTTTGATTTCGAAGAAATTAATGTTTATTTGATTGACTGATTGGTGGTTGACTGGTTGATTGATTGATTAATTGATTAGTTGACCGGTTGATAAATTGATTGATTAATTGATTGGTTGGTTGGTTGATTGATTGATTGATTTATTGATTAAATGATTGATCGATTGATTGATTGATAGGTTGGTTGACTGATTGGTTGACTGATTGGTTGATTGACTGATTGATTTATTGGTTGATTGATTGATTGATTGATTAATTGACTTACTTATGGTGCAAAAAGCACCAGTCCAGCCAGGAGCACAGACACAGAAGTATGAATTGACAGCATCCAGGCAAGTGGCACCATTTTGACATGGAACACTTGCACACTCATCAATATCTGAAATACAATTAAATATAATATTCTTTAGGAGTCATTCACAATTATCAACACTTTTTTGCAAGTGTACAAACAGTAATCTTCCTCAGTATCCCTTCTCTTCCCCTCTGAAATGTACATAAAAAAATGTTAATTTTGCAAAAACCATTCTCCCTTTTAAAAAAAAAACTATAATACTGTACTTTGTTACTTAAAAACATACATTTTATCCATGGTTGCATTATAATTGGTCATAAAAATCTATTTACACATTTTCCATTTTGTTTTGAACCAACATTTTCATGCATTCTTTTCACTAATAATAATCATTTATCTGGCTTGCTTCAGTGTTTTCTCGCATATATAATTATTCCATTTTAAAATCACTGTACGCCTGCCTCTGGAATGGTACGTACCTACTTCACAATTCTGTCCAGTCCAGCCAGCAGAACACTGGCAGAGGTATCCATTGACCCCATCAAGACAAGTTCCTGCGTTTTGACATGGTCCACTGGCGCACTCATTTATATCTAAATAAACAACAAATTTAACAATGTATTTTTTCACATATATGAAGTTTTGTATATTATAGTTTCATTTTTTGAAGTATGCATACATCTAGAATCATTTTCCTACATATGAAGTTCTTTGTATCTACAGTGTGCATGGCAAAGACAAGCCAAACCCAGTCCATTGTCGCAAAAATACATTTTTAGTTACTAACACATGCAGTGTTCAACAGTAAAATGAGAGCTGTAAAATGGTAAAAAAATAATTTATATCTGACATTTCCCTACAAGCCTTTAAACATACAGCTGTTTAAAGAACACCATATGAAAAATCAGCCTTCAAAGTTTATGATTTCGGGCATTTCTCAGGCAGAAATGCCTGCAAAAATGGGGAAAATAGCATAGCACAATGTATAGATCTTTATCGGTTAGTTTAGTGTAATAAAATAGATTTTTTTAAAAATGTTTTGGCCAATATCTCTGAAACAGGATTTGCGACGAGTGACTAGTTTGGCTTGTCTTTACCAATGGAGTCTGTGGCATTAATATAATTTTGTATACGTATGACGGTCACGCATGAGTGAACCCATTCTAGGGTTGCATCATCCCAGCTAGCAAAGCGACGTTGGCCCAACGTTGGTAAACGTTGGCAAGCGTCGGTAAGCGTCG